TATATGCTGCATAAAAGACTCCTACCGATGACATCATCCAGGCTTGCTCTGATCTTGAGCGAACCTCTCCAGCTGCCGCTATACTCTTCGCGAAGTATATCACTTTGCGCCGCTATTGCCTATATCAACTTGTATCACAATCGCCAGCGACATTAACTCCCAACTTAACCCAAATTAACTCAATCGATTTTGAGCGAAGCATCGCTAGCGATTCAACACCAATCAATACTTGTCAAATTTGGTTTTGCTAGAGCGACTGCGATAGGCATGCTATGTTCAACGTGGACTACCGCTACAACCTTCGTTCCTGCAAATAAATGTTTTTGATTTTGCTCCTAAAAACTGATCAAATATGGTGTTCATCAGTGTTGTTGCTGACAGTTCGCTTCTGTGAAATGATATAATTTTTTTTCAGATCCAGATGGTGTCTCTTCGTCGGATCTCTGTGATGCTTTTTGTATGTTATAATAAAAGGTAATGTTTGCTTTCATAACGAAGTAATCACATGGTCGAATTTTTTTCAGCTTGTCGTCGCGCTTTCTCTTCCACTCGTTGTATGGGGAAGTAGGTTCAGTTCAAATTTTAGAACCATCCTTTTTCAGATCGAAATGAATTCCGTGTGCTTGCATAAGCTCTATTTATTTACATTAATTGATCTTATAATGTTTTGTGTCTTTTGGTAACAACTTACATAGATCTTGTTGTAATGTTACTGCTTCTTCCAGGTTGTTTATAATTTTATTTTATCAATGTTTATAAACGTTTAACTTTTTATTAGCAGCCCAACGTTTCGTGTTATAATGCCGCTGCTTCTGGAACAACCTGGAAGAAGCCGAAGCATTGTAACAAGATTACTATGATACCTAGAATCAAAAAAATCCGAGGACATGGAAATTGATTTGCATGGGATGTCTCCTTGCACAACTACATAACAATATTCTATATTCTGTAAATGATTCAAAAGTTGATTTGAGATTTACATGGGTATTTGCAGGTTTCTGAGATCAGTGGCAATAGGTTGAGTTATTCCAAGGCGGATCGTATACTTGGTATACTTCACAATATTCACCAACTCGGACATCTGTGCAGCTCTATGCTCGTCGGAGGTGAGCTCCACAGCAGTAAGAGTTCGGGTCAGCCGCAAATTCACCAGCACTTCAGAATCAGTATTGATTGAAAGTGGCTGAAGTGTTCCTCCATGGGCAGTAAAGTTGCTACAACATTATTGCGAGAGCTGGCACGCAGTCATTTCCGGCTCAACTCTTCTCTTACTTGATGTCCGACTTTCGATAAACCTCGGCATGAATTGACAACTGTCTTGTTAGTAGTCAAGCAGAACACGAGGTTGTTAACAGCTTTATTGGGTAACGTTTCGGCGGTATCGCCTTCTTCACACTGGCGCTATACTCCTCGAGGAGTGTAGCACCTTGCGTCGCCGTCGCCGGCGACTGTGATGCCAATGCGTATCGATTGTGGGCGGATCGGCGACGGCGATCGCCGAAGTTGGCGACGGCAACGCAAGGTACTATACTCCTCGAGGAGTATAGCGCCAGTGTCAGAGCCTGCAATGGGTGCGTCAAAATGTAATCTACTCGGTCAAACGTCTTTTCAACTCCACAAACGAAACTCTAAGCCCAGTTTTTGATCACATAGAGAGCCCCTACGCCAGAAACATATCTCACCGTAGTATTGATCCGGAACGCACTGCAGCTAACTGCCACAGATGAGCGATTGGATGCGTTAGGTCAGAAGAGCATCCTTGTATAAGGCGCAAGTTCCCGCGTAACCGATAGGCACTCGTCTTTGCAGTTCATTTTTGGATTTTCGACGTGGATCCAGAAGGCCTCCAAGGATTTGCGCGCGGAAATTTGCTGTTCATGCGCCAAGATTGAGACCTTAACTCCAAAATCTGCTCCGCCGTGCCTCTGTAGTCTATGCGCCTAGTGGGGCGGATTCGCACGATCTGACTTTGCCTTCTAGGTGCTCCTTGGTGCGGATACATAGTGGGCGGGCCGTCTCGCCGATGTACTCGTCGCCACACTCTGAGCAGGAGATCGGGTAAATAATCCTTGAACACATATAGTCCCCTCCTCTACCATTAGGTCAAATAATGCAACGCGGTATATGGCAAAACCTGTCATAGAGTCGATTCCTAACCAGCCGCTTTTTAAGATTGTTTGGTGGCAGATCTACGACTGTCACCAAACTATCTAATTTGGCTTTCTTCAGGCACCGCCGAATAGCAGTGCTTACCTCATCGGAAACAAATGGCAGCCTGAAAGGTATTTTATCTTTTTCGGGTGATTTGCTACGTGATCTCCCCTTACTTTCCTGTATAGTACGTCGACTGTCGGTGGAGTTGAAAATAAATGGTAGCACACCTCACTCTTGAAAAGGAGGGGTGTACAAATTCAGCCCTCTGAGGATAGTGCTGCGGGAATGTCTGAGAAGATAATATTATAAGCTTCAGTATTGCAGACGCCGAAAACGAATAGTTATGAGCTGGAGTTCAAAACACCACGGTACATCTAAGTGTGGTAATTTCAGGAACAATAAAAGGAACAAGGCCGAAACCAAAACCGAAACCAAGACCAACGAGACCGCCACACATATAGATATGTTATTGACACATTTCACCGCGAATGTAGGTGCATCAATCCCTGACAACTCCACAGTAACACGATAAGTTATATTAATTGCCTTCAGTGTACCGTTTTCTCCATTTTGAATTGAGAACTAATTTCTCCACGATAAATTATTGCTATTGAGTGGAATAGCAAGAATACTTTTCAAAATTTTCTCAACCACGTCAGTTTCGCGCATCCAACAGTAATGAAATGCGCGATGATAAGAAACGTGTTCAAAACCGCAGCAGAGGTATGCATTGGCGAGGTTGAGCGCTTTGAATTGCAAAGTATAGCTTCCCAAATTGCTCAGAGCAATGATTACTCATTACCGCAGCCCAAGTCCTGAACATCCACAGAGAAACGCATCCACTCTCTATGCGGAAAAAAAAACAACCACTTTTTCCTCGTTTAAGGCAATTTTGACTCGGCTACACGACAGCGCCTGTACCAAGCTTTGCTGCAAAATGATGTATTGTTTGTGGGTGAAGCGACCTGTGATAATCGATATTAATATAGTCACTAGTTAAGAATTTATTGTGAATTGGTACTGTGCCCATTGTGGATGTTGTTGGAAAATTGAATCGGAATGTTCGTCTGAAGTTTGTCGAGGAATGTTATGAAACGCGCGTAAACCAGGAATGTTATGAAACGCGCGTGACTCATGCATATGAAAACCCCCGCGTTTGCCCATGCCTTCCACTCATCTTCTTACAATTTCATCCTCCTATCTGATATTCCAGAATTGTATTCTAATGTTTCGCGTTTAGTTCTCATTCTATGTATATCTACCGCTGGATAGTAAAAATGTGTCATTAAAATGAAGATTCAACTACTAACTAGTTCGAGGTGCTGACGAGAACGCCCATGTCCCCTGACATGCTGGCGTGTCATTGTGGCGAGCAAACCTTAACAGTCAGTTATTTCAATTGGTACATCGGCTGTGAATCAAACCCAGGCCGCTCGCGTGGCAGACGAGCACTCTATCACTGAGCTATGGATGCTTTCCTGCCATTCAGTGGTGACCTTCGAAGACAATGGAAACTGTGAGATTCACGATCGCTCAGCTGATAACTTCCATGCTGAAGAGAACCTTCTCAAAGTGACTCCTGAACTCTCATTAATTCATGAGAATCAAGCAACTCATTCAATATTGAAGCACAGCTAGAATTTCAGAAAGTAAATTTGACTGTTTTGACTAAAATTCCGAAGTCTTCTTTCCTCGGGGTGACATTTGATGGTTGTTTCAACCGTAAAACGAGAGTCAGCTCAACAATCAAGATGGATGTCAATTCTGATGAGATAATCCACTTCTCCTGTCCAGAAACTTCTGCATCCACACCCATACTAGTGGAAGGAATTTTGAGAGAGAATGCTGCTAACTTTAGACATGAGGAGAAGAATATTCACCTGTGTTGCATTGTGTGTGAAAACACAATACATGTAAATCTGTAGGGAAATCAGACATGGAGGATAATCACTGATGATCCCATGAGCAAAACAATACATTGAGATATTAGTAATTTTGTTAGTCAATGTGGCTGCGGCAAAGGTTAAAAGAATATTCTCAGATGGAAGGATTCGTTTATAACCATAGAAGAATAATGACTACTGGTCAAGGATGGTCCAGAAAGTCAGTGGACTCGAATCATCCGCGCTAGTCCCTGATTTTCCTAGCGACGACGAAGAGGAACTAGTGATAAAATAGAATGGCGTAGAACCAGGGGAACGAAATAGCGTTGATAAGCTGGAGCAAATCTGACAGATGGAACTTCGCGTCTTGCCCCTATCGCAAGAAGAAAAAATTCTCACTAGGGATTGAACCGGACATTAAATACGCCTTTTCCTGAATCGTGGCGATCACTTTTCTGATTTATGCTCTAGAGTCCAAAATGGGGACATGAGTTATGATGTTGTTCGTGTCAAGAGAACTCTGCATCGACTAATTGGAGGACTGTACAAGTTCATTGACGTGCAAATACAGGAATTGTCAATGTTGGTATTGTTGTCGCGTACTAGGAACCGCGTTTAACAATTTTATTTCGCGTGACAATGGGCACCATCGCTCCCTATGTAATCTGCCCGACAAGATGGACGCGGCCATGAGAAGAAAACGGTAAACAGGAAACTGCCAAAATGGAAGAGGACTAGCCCGTATTACGTGAGAAACAGCCATTCACGGTCCAAGAGGAATAATGCACCATAGTGGCGTCATCTCGGAGGCGGAGTGTCGGTGAACCGACCGGTGATATTTATACAAATAGTTAACAGTTATGAACTTATTGTGAATCGATAGTAGTGTACGTTTTGCAGATGTTGTTGAAAGATGGGAACGTAATGTTTTGTCTGACATTTGTCGGGAAATGTCTCCAATGCGCGTGACTAATTGAATACGCGTATAAGAACCTGTTGCGTTAGTCGTATTAGCTTCCTTATATTTCCTTCGTTTTTATCATTTTCTAGAATAATAAATTTTCGCGTTTAGACATTTTCTGTGAATATATCGCTTTCTATCGTAGAAAGCGATATATTCACAGAAAATTTAGAAATTTACAGTGATAATAAAGGTTTAAATGCCCAAGCTTGAGTTACCGGCGAAAATCTCCGCGTCGTCTGGCCGTTGTGTGTCAGTTTTGGCTAGCAAGTGTCAGTCGCTTCAATTGGTGCATTAACTGACAAACGAGTGTTGGAAAATTTCTAAGAGCAGTGGAGAAAAGAGTCAATAAGAAAAGACATAGTCACTCTTCCAGACAACAGAACGTTCGCTTCGGGAAGATTCATAAGTGTAGGGATCAAAAGGACCCACAACTACACGACCAGTGAAACGAAGATTTTAATGAGCATTTGCGCCAAAACATCATCGAAGTTGTGTATGAGGCAACACCAACAATGGGACAAAGAGTCCACTCCTCATCAAGCAGTGCTAGCACCAAACTACAACGAAGCTCCACATCGTATTTGACGCGTTAGCCCATCACAAGAATTCTCCTTTCACAACGCTCTTCATAGAGGACCGACGTCTTTTTTGAAGTTATAGTGCCTTCTTCTACGTGATAGAAGCAACGCACAGCAAAGTTAACTCTTCGCAAACAAAAACAGAGGTTTTACGTATCAAATGAAACCCCAACAATGACCTTTGCGTCGTAACGGCACAAAACAGCGTCCAAACGCACAGTGGAAAGTGCAAGTGCATCCACACATATATGACCCGGTGGGTTGGATGTCACATCCACAGAGCAACAATTTTCCTTCAATCGCTGTGGAAAGATCGAATGGATTGGGATACCCAGTTATCAGTCGATCTCGTAACAGAATGTTAAAGTGTTTGCTTTGTGAAACAAGTTGGGGCATCTGTCCTTCGCTTTATACGCGTTACCATAACACAAATCTCTCAGAGAGAAGACACAGATGGTCAATTACTGCAACGTGATGACGCTGGAGTCTTTTTAGCATCTCATAGGTGTTACGACGCGGATTGTATTCACCCAGCTTCAAGAGCCGCTGGTCATCTACGTCAACATCGAAAGTATCGTGTTATCTCAGGCTGAAACTGACGTCCTCGAGCTTCAGGAACGAAACCTCCGCCGCCTATTAAGGGAAAGAGGAGAGATTTATCGCATCACACATGTTTTCGCCGCATCCTTTACGTTGCTGTGTTTTCTGAATTCGTATAAAGCAGAATCGAACATGCTTGAAGTCAATGACGATTTTTTCGGTCACGAACCCTGTGGAATTGTAGAACAACCAGTGGAATTGTAGAACAAATTAGCTGTTAACAAACATTTACATACATTTCGGGTACGAAGTCCGAGAGCAATCCCGAAAAATTTGGCGGTAGACAAAAGTGGCGGGAAACTTTCGCACAACCTAATATTTTCAATGGAGCTGTGATCACTACGCGTCTAGCCTGTATAGAGATAGCTTCCCTTCATGTTCCCGCGATAAGTCGAAAATAAGACCGACACTTCCGTGATCGTATTCGCAATTTGAGTCACCTCTTTTGATTCTGAATTCATTGCAGTTGTTGACCAGAAAGAGCCAGAGCTTCCCCTCCACGAACTGAACGACCGACACATGCAGCTCCACATTTAGAGCATCAATACCATCAATAATGACATTGTCGTTTGTTTCATTCCATTTCATATGCATCTTTGTATTATGTATTTCTATATTTTCCTTTAACGATCATTTAACCAGTGACAGAATGTTTTTATGGGTTTGAATTTTATTCTAATTTCACCCGTTGTTGAGGTAACATTATGTTCCGACTTCAATGCGCAGTGCCTCAGCGCGCGCCCGGGAGAAATTGCTGTCAATCGCAATCGCAACTGTGCTGAACCAATCATGAGGACCGGCTCTAAGGCCAGTACCTCGGCGTTTTGGAAGCGCATTTTGAGACACCCAGTGTTGGTGCGATTAAAACGTCGTACCATGGGCTGTGGCTGTCGCAAAAAATAATAATAAAGCGAAAATCTCGGCGGCGGAGTGATGCGGATCGCGTTACGGAAAGAGGGCGGATGGGACAGTCGAGTTGAAGATAGGATCGTAATCGGTTATTTCTCTGCTATTCTGATGTTTGCGGGTCGATTGTGCAAATGG